AGACCCCACGTTTTTCATTTGATTTTGCTTAGACTTGATTCCCCTTGATGAACTAGCTGGTTTTGAGTCCCGTTAGGGGTGTTGATGAAATCTAAGCAAAGTTTAAACTGCGATAGAGCCTGGATGAGAATACCATTTGGGAAGGAATGCTAAGTGAAATGTAATGGAAACGTAAGGCCCACTCATATCATACCGGGAAATTCAACTATTAGTCCCTCATTACCTTAAACACATCTCTTAAATTTTTTAATCATGACTTGAAAACTTCATTTTGTATGAAGGGTTCGAATAGGTAAAAAGCTGAAGGGCTTTTTGGAGAAAGTCTCTTTTATTATCTGAAATTTACCTTATCGAGGTAAGCAAGCTAACTACCACAATGGTCCTAATGGGAATTTTAAAGATATTAATTCAGATTATACTTATACACATGACTCCTGCCAATATGGGGACAGCGTCTATATATGTTTCAGCTATGATACCATATCATCGTAACTGCGGGGGAGGATAAAATCTATTCACCTCAATCTACCCTCAATTTTAAGAGGGAAAAAATCTAGCTAATGGATTTGAGAATTAGTGGATACCTTCTAGAAATAGGGCTAAATTTTCTCGTTGTGGTTCACTTTTGAACGAAATTAGGAACAACAGATTTGCCCAATTTGCATTATTTGGCTTACCAAATTTTAATATTGATATCCTATTTACTTTAGAACGTATTATTATAACAATTAGTTTATAAATAATTAATGGTGAATTACAAAGTATTACCTATTAGTAATTAGTAATTGATAATTGATGATTGGTGACAATTCATGGTTTACAATCAATAGCCTATAAGTTATGATTATTATTCCACCATTAACTGGCTAGCAATTAAGGGTTTATAATATCTAAGTATTTATTAACAATTAATATTTTACAATTTATAATTGATAATACAACAAATCATAATTTATATTTAAATAATTGGAGTACCTTGACTTACGAGTCGAACATAATTCGTAATTATACTTAACTATGTGAATTTGTCTTCCCTCTTTTTCGCAAATAGATCCTATCGTCAAGGTAACCCCAAAGATCCTGCTCTGTGCGGCGTCGTCTGCCGTAGAATTCATGGCACTTTCCGTGGCTGAAAGTCATAAGTTTGCATTTGTAGATAATTCTCGTGCATCACTGATAGGCATAGCCACTCTAGTCACTAAGCTACAATTCGTCAAAAGGGATGAGTGAAGTCCATATCTCTATCGAATTTTCGTTGAATAGTTATGGTTTATCTTGTCCTGCTACATTCACTTTTCCTTTAACCCTCTATCTCACCCTTCTTTGGCACAACATCTACCCTGTTTATACTAGGCTATTCTAGAGGCAAGCCCTCTTGATTTGATAAAGTGAGGTCTAATCACAAGTGTGAATGAGACATACTACAGAAATATAAGAGAAAATTGATAACGAAAGGGACTGTAAAAGCTCAACGACGATGCCGACTTCGATGCTGGAGCAACATCCAAGAATGTATCAAGTCCGCGGAGAAGGGCTATGACGTGCTATGATCTGCCAGATGAGGCAGATTACGATATGTCCTTCGAGATCGTCTTGACAACATGAGCAATTTGCGAAAACTATGCCTGGGCGAATTACAAATGTTAACACAAGAGAAGGCACACTATATTGTTTTTTGTATAAAAATAAATATTTTCGTATTAGAGTAGAGTTTCGAGACTACCAGTAAATCAGTAATATGAGATGTATTTACCCTATTTCGTGAAATAGGGTGAATACATCTCATAGTAAAAATAATTAGCCTTTAAGGTTCGCTTATCGATGCCAGATTAAGGATACATATTGTTTACTACTCTTAATGCTACAGTATTTTACATCGGCAGGTCCGCTGGATTATTATATCCCCCTATAGTCGTGCGATGCTGCTCGTCCCCTAAATTATAGAGAAATTTGTGAGCAACCGGCAGGTTTACTCCTGAATCTGTCCGACAGGCGGCATCATAAATTTGCACGAGTTGCAACAGCGTTGGTCTAACAAGTAGCATCTGAGATGACAAAGAGTTTACCATCGCGGATGAATATACATTATGTCTCTCGAGAGATTCTGTATAGCTGTTTTTGCCCGAAGTTCCAAATGATTTATTTATAGTTATGGATGTAAGTTGCCAAATCTACAAATGAAGTGGTGTGATCCCAATTATATTTTAACCTGTTTTGCCTCATTGCCCAAGAGACCAGATTTTTTCTACACTCACACAAAAGAAATATGCATTCTTATCTTCAGAGAACTTGGTGTCTCCCATACTTCGCTTAACGCTTTAGGCGCATAGGAACACAAGGTTGGGCATACCTTGGTCCACGAATCTCGCCGTGTCTGGTTTCCCAGCCAGAACTCAAACTAGTGACAATTTCTGTCTCCTCCAGCTCCCGCCGCCTTGAATCGCTTGCGTTCATAGACAAGCATATATTCCTATAAAATATGACTTATTCAGTGGCATACATGCCGAGAATTCTCCGTGACTGTAGCATTGTGTGAATGAGTGCTTGGCTAAACGACTTGCAACTCGGATGAAGATCTCGTCTGCCATTTGGCAGCTGTCGTTAGGGTGAGAAGCAAATATTTGCGAAAAAACACACCAATTATAGTATGCCAAGCCAACTCCAAAGTGTATCACTCCAAGGCAGTCCTGTTTTCGGTGAGGCTAATAGATGAATGCATTCTAATCAACCTTTATTTTGTAATGAAAATTGAGTCACAATAAATTATTTAGTCATTCTTTGTGAACCCACCTTTCTTCATCTGTATGCTGGGAATTTGCTCACTCGACTGTGCTCCACGATCATGTCAATGTTGATGTTCAGGCGGATCACCAAAGCCTACGGTAAAATTGAATTTGTTCATCTTCAAGGGTCTGTTGTCTCCTTAGTGACACATCAACTCTGAAGCTGCCAGACTCGGTTTCTGCTCCTTTTGTATTGCTGGTGCTTCAGAGCACAATTTGTATACATCGTAGCTACTAAATGAATCACAAAGGAGCATGGAATTCGGCGTTTAATTCAGCTTAATGGAAATTTCCGTGAACCTTCAAAAGAGTGTTACCTTCACCAGACATAGTTCTGAATAGTCTTGGATGTCTTCGACCTTCTAACAGCATATGCGATGAAAATTTGGGTATTGAGGATCACTTTTTTGACATTTGCGATAATCACTTCCAGTTCGAGTAAAAATGAGATATGAAAAATTTCGCAGCTCGATCCCGCAGGCAGAGGACGAACGTTACTTGCTGGCCAGCTGCCGGCCGGTTTTACTGGAACCTTCTGGTTAACTGGAAGATATGCATATGGCTACTGAGGAGGATCTCTTGATAAGATTCACGGTGATATCTAAATGCTCCAAAATTCCGGTTCAAAGAGCTATTCATGATTATTCAACTTATCCATGAGTGGAATATACTTCTCTTGAATGATTTGCTTCTTGACATGTTATAGGACCTACAATTTGCTCTAATTTGGATCGAAATTTAGCTATTAATTACGTTTAATAAAATGACTACTACTACACGTAAGAGATAAGTTTGACATTTAAAATGATATTTGTATATATGAATGGTTATTATGCAATTCGGCAAGATTGTAAAGATGAATAAAATAATTTCTTTTTATTAACTATCCAGAAGGGTTGTAATGTTTAGTTCCCGATGGAATGGTAGGGCGAGTTTACCAGGATTGTCTATAAGGAACCAGCATATGGTGAACTTATCCATAAATTTTTTTCCAACGATTGTTATAAAACGAAGGTTGCTGATTTAAAATAAATAGCTCAACAGATATTCGTTAGATGGGTTTGGCTTCACTTGTTACTTTGATAAGTTATAACTCTGAGCTATGAATGGCGCTTCTCACTGACGATGCCTACGAAACTACTGGCCAAACTTCTGGGAATCTATCAAGTCCACGGATTAACTCTGGAGATCATTCTAACCACCATGAGAAGGGAGGCAAAAATCAGTATGCTCAACTAGATCTTCCTGTTGCTCTAACCAAGTCGCCAAAACGAGGTCAAACCAAGACTGAGTAGCTAATGGAAATTGCGACCAAGTCTGATGTCTCATCATCTTGGTCTTCAGTTCTACTGTTTAAACTAATAGTAATCAAGAATAATTATCTTTAAGACAGTATTAAAACTGATATCGGATTAATAATTAATAGGAATATTTGTGAAGAAATAAAAACAAAGAACTTTTCTTATGTCCCAAATTTACTTTTGTGCGTTATCTCTTTAAAACAATATGAACCTGGTGAGGAAGTGGGTGATTAGAAGAATTTTCTAGGAAACCATGACCCAATTTATACCCAATTTTATAAAGAAGCTTGACCCGCTGTGAAGAGCTGGCATTTTATAAAATTATGTGATCATGCCTGTAAAGTATGTTAGATTCATAATGCAGAAGTAGAGTAATAAATAATATAAACTGGACATTATAAATAAATCGCCTCAAACTTTTCATGTTGTTGATTATGATTCGTCTGTAACTAAGCAATATATTAGTGCGGTAATCAAAATCAGCAGATCAGGCGATTCATTAGATGTTAAGAATTCCATTAGGAAACGACGAAAGAACCTTTTAAGCTTAACGGAAAATGGGCATGGCCAAATTATGAGTAGATCTCTCTCTCTTTATCTTTTATACATACACACACAGACAAAAAGCTCGTCTACTTAGTTTGACTTTACGCAATCTGGATGGTGATTAAAATACAAAAAGAAGGGTCGGAGTATTTAGGTCTTGATGAATCAGACTGTGCTCTACTTCAATTGCTTTCAGCTATCAATGTTAGTTTTATACATTTACGTGCATATGGAGGGATATAAGCATGCATAAAACAGCACACACGCCTTAAGAATGAATGACCAAACTAATTTATACATAATGTGAAATGCATAAGTTAAGGAGATACATGTACATATCCATATACAGCTGGTAGAGATGGGTCGGTTGTAAAAATGATATACTCTTTTGTTAATCGAACAACCGTCGGGAGAGGCGGAAACTTATTACGTTCACATTGGAATCGGGAAGATTGTTTCGGGGCCGGTGTCAACAAGAATGCTCAAGTGAGGCCAACCGACAATTGGACAAGAGGGATCTGCTATGATTGACCTTTAAATTTATCCATCACATCTTCACTCGGAATGTAAGTGACTTCAACAGTTTCATATGACAATTATTCAAAGTGAAATATGATTGAGACTGTACTATTACTTTGCCTATCCGTTGAAGTCATTTGCTTTATAATAAAATCATGTTACCTCATTCGTGGGGAGAACTATATTTTTCAAGACAA